CGTCGTCGACATTGGCATTTAATCTCGGCTGCGGCCCGAACCCGCTGTTGACTGCCAGCGACGCCAGGGACAATCAGAGCGATTTCACACAGCTGTTGACCTGTCCACACAGAGCTGCTGTGATCGGGTCATCAACTGAGCTGACCCGACCTGACCACCGATCGGCAGTGGATTTCCGAGGAACTGCGCCCGTATACCCATGCAGCCATTCCATGCTCGTACGCTTTTAACCGCCAATGACTGCCATAGATCTTATTTTTTCATCACTTAGTACAGTACTTGACTGGATTTTATGATTAATTCAAATTCACATAAACCATGTTCGTAAAATATAACTGCTTTATATCTAAAAAATTAAAGGCCGCTTGATAATATGCGATGCTCTAACTTTGAGCAGTGATTTATTGAAACTGTGCAAGTACAGTGGGGTCTTGATCAACGTACCTTATCATTCCCAGCGACTAATCATTTGAACAATACAAAAAGAATCCACAATTAATAATTTTAATTTGAAAATAATTGCACAATGTTGAGTGGGAGCAGAAGAGGCATCAAAATATACATTAAAATATAATTTTCCTTCAAATTACACTTGAAATTCTGTCATGGGAATGACATTTTGATCCCAAAAAATTTAAATCCTGCTAATTTTCTCTTGAAATTTTGTAAACGATTTTTTTCGTGACTTGAAGTTCGTTTCTCAATTTGAATTCGTTGCCTAAGGAAAAATAGTGACCGCGTGTTTATTCTTTTTGCAAAAATTTCGTTGGTTAAGGAGTTCATTCCTTAAATTTTAAGCAAAAATGCGTCCTATAACCCGGAAAAATTCCTGGAATGATTCGAAATTTATGCAATTCCATCAGATCGAATGTGAATCATTCCGCACATGCGAGACTGTGGTGCGGCTTATATTCGAATAACTGGAGGGAATTTTATTTTCAGGGGCTGGTTTACGGCATAAAAATTATACAAATTCACAATTTTGAGTTTTTGAGGAGAGAAATTGTTCGTCTGAGGAGTTTTCAGCTCAGAAGTAACACATCAGAAGACCTTCATTTGGTTTAACCCTATGCGATTGAAAACATGAAAAAGTTGACAGGTGTACACGAAATTATCTTCCCGATCCCGATAAATATTCGAGAATCAAACAAGATGACTTTTATCTCAGTCGGAGGTGTCATGGGTCCAAGAGCCGACAGTTTCATATACCTACCAACAGGAAGTTCAAGGATGGAATCTTTCTAGGGTGACCCGGGATCCCGTTCCCGGTCAACACGAGGAGAACCCGGGCACGATTCGGACCCGAACCCACTCGTGCTGATGAACTGGATCAGGGTCGGGACGATGAGTGACGAGGATTTGATCAACACGCGGCTTAATGAATGAACGGCAAGTCTGGGGATATCCGTGACTGGGACAGTTTCCTTAAAAGGTTTAGGATATAGGCGACGGGTCCATGCAGCGAATGATTCAATTGATACCATCTGTCGCAGTACGGGTTCCCCATCTGCATACGTAACGGGATGTTCCCGGGGACGTTCCGGTTGGGATTACATCATCAACCCAGACGGGGAACCGGATCACTTCCGCTACATTTACTCTCGGGTGACCTTTTTTTCTCGTTTTCAGGGTCTTTCTTGGAATCCAGCTGCCCACGAAATCTAACATCATGTTTTCTTCCGAGGTCTTCTGTTCCAATAATATTCCGGGTTTCTAATGACCTCTTGTGGAATTTGAACTGACGAGGCAATGTTTCACGTTCAACTTTGCAAAATGACGAAACCCTCTATGCAGTCGGAACTCCCAGAAAATCTGTCATCAGTCTAACACGCGGAGGAAATGTCGAAGATACAACGAACAGATATTTTATGCAACGCAATCGGTTAAAATAAAATGCTATTACAAATTTTCCTTCGCACTTTCAATTCTCCACCGGACCGGATAAATAAAGATTAAAAACTAGGGATTGACAAAGGAGTGAGAGACCTGAAGACAAAAACACAGGAATGAGCAATTTCTCCAGAAGAAAGTTCGAGTGTGTGTTTATTTATGCAAATACAGAATTCTGAATGATTCAACACACATGGAGGTACAATGATATGAAAAACGTAGCAAAAGCAGAGAATCTTTCTAGATTAATGCACAATTATTCTCAATGGCGAGATGCTTCCTGATGCTCTTTGTTGATAATTAGTGTCAACTTGGATAATCTTCTCTACTTTTTTTTAAATATACTAACCGGCTCCAGTTCTATGGGCTGGTAATCGTCTGCACTGGCCAGCATGAAACTGTCAGTAAAACCCAGACTGTGAGCGAAATCTGTCGAGTTTGATTCGTAGGAAAATTATGTCAAATGGGAGAGAGAGAGAGAAAGATTTTGCAGCATCTTGTACTGCAGGAACTGGAAGTTTTAAATAGCACGAAACCTCAGAGAGTGTCATACTTGAAATAGGGGAGACAAATGAAAGAAAGCAGGCAAGCTTGTTGCGGCGGGAACCCAAGAGAAAGACGGCATCACTGGATGCGACCCTGAGATCCCTATATAGCGACGTTCATGGGCGCTGAGCGCGAGAGAGAGAGGAGGAAGTGGCAGGCCGCTCTTTGGGCGGAGGATCCAGGGGATCCCGGGCGAAGAAAAAAGGCGGACCTGGAACCCGGTCGGAGAGCATCACTCGGGACCAATGGCGACGCCGTCGACGCAGATGGCGGCCAATGCCCGGCTGGTAGCAGCCTGGCGCCTGTTTTTCGCGGGCCAGATTATACCCGCAACCTCGCTCCACTTCCGGCGGGCTTCTGTTTCTCCCACCCCAGCTGCTGGTTCCTCTCAAAACTCCCCTGCACCTCTTCATTATCTCTTATTGCAGCCCTGGCTGCCGGCCAGGCGCTTCTCCACCACATAGGCTTCCCATTCCCTGCTCCAAAACGCACATGCTTGGTCAACGACCCCAAGCAAAATTTGTTTCGGTTCATCTTTATGTTCATTTCGATCAATGTTTGTGAGAATGTGAAAATTCAATTCGTATTCGCCGCATTGAGACAAATGTTACACGTGTGCTTATATTGGCTTTCTTGGCAGAAATTTTCCAGTGAACTCACAGTGATGAAATTACGTGTGACCGGACACTCTGTCTTCTGAAAGTGAGCCGCCTGAAAGGAGAAAAGAATACCTAACTAAGGAATATGTGAGTACAGTACCTTTCATGCCCTCGAGGATTATTCTGCACGAATCAGACGCGAATAAAATTGAAAATGCGCTCGATCATGCCTATAACGAGTGATTACATGGCCGCTCAAGTTCGAAATCCGTTTTCACTCTATCAAAGTTTTCAAATCCCGCATCCAAAGACTCGTGAAAGAGAGGAAAAAAAAATCGAAAGCATCTCCCTACCCTCTTTGAACTGAGACTGCCTTCGCCTCATAATCTCCGGTGCATTTGTAACATCGTCGCGTCCAGTAAGAGCAGGAATTCCGGAGTAGCTACATATAGGGTTAATGCATGAAAAGATCGCGGCTTCCAATTGGCCACGGGTTTCCCCGATTCCAGCACACGGTGATGCGGGATCCCGGAAGCATATGCCGAGGATCTGAGGAAACGATCCCCGGGCCTCGCTGATCCTTGGGCGGAGTCTCGGCTGCCATAGGCTCAGACATATTGCGCGAATCCCCTTGTCCAGATGCTTCCCGTCTCACCCCTATACACGCGCCGTCGTTGAAGCTCTTCTATCAACGCCAACTTTTTTTTCCTTTTTTCATTTCTTGAGAAACTCGGGGTTTCCCCACTTGAACCCAACTTTTCTTTCACATTGTATACGGTCTCTCTAAGGAGTTGCAAAAGGAGCACACCCTGGAGCTCGAAGTGCAGTCTTGAGAGTTGAATATAGGGTCAACATGTAAAATGAACCCCGCAGTGTATTAGAAACTGCATCGAATCAGGATATCATTTCGCGAACGTGTATTTTCAGAGCAACAAGATGTATGACTTACTGATTAGGTGCGTTCCGAGTTTAAAACCAGTTTTTGAGCAGGAAGAAACTCTGTCAGTAAGATTCATTCCATTTAAGCTAAGATTCTCAGCCGTTGATCTGCGACCTACTTTGCGGCTCCGTGGCTTACTTGAAAAAAAAAATATTCGCAATCCGAAGCTTGGAGTTTCAAAGAATAAGCAATAATTTTTAATTCATGAGCATCATGTTCAAGAAATAGGCAACGAACTCACTGGTCATATGCGCAACTAAGGCATTGCGCTTCCAAATTAAACTTAAACAGGAGATCCGTAAACGGATTTAATTTTGATAAGAGCACACTGTGTCGAAAAAGTTTGAGAAACTTCATATTGAGGTACTGTAATTTAGAGGTAATGTTGCTGACATCCCGGAAGGAATTTGAACCAGAAACACTCGAGATTTTGAGCAAAGCTTCCGACTCTCAGACTTCCTGGTCCATGTCATATTTTGGGATTTAAAAATTGCTACGAAATCGACTGATTCAATATGAAAAAGCAAGCCTTCGTGCAGAGGGGAAATCATCTGAGACTTCGTGAAGGGCGGATCAATTTGTGACAAATGCCGGTCGTTTTCCTACTTTCCCCATTAATTTTTGAGTACTGGAGAGAAAACAAAATCCCGGAAAAACGAAAACATTGAGAATTAGTTACTTTTATTTGATGCGCAGACTGACATGGGAACAGGACTCGACTACACCCCTATAACCGGCACTGAGCGGAAAACGAAGCGGAACTTCGACGTCGCGTTCCTCACCGGAAGCGAGGCTTCCGAGTCTAAAAGACCGTCGCTGTATCAACACGAAACTGCTTCCGTGGTCAGCGCATCTCCGTTGCACTCTTCCGACAGCAACTCGGCCTCACCGGAACCCGGGCACGAGTTCGGGAATTTCCAACCCCGAAGCGCTTTCACCAAGGCACGATTTTGAAATCATATCGCTGTTACTGAACGCGGATTTTAATCCTTTAAATTTTCGTGTTGTTTATTTTTGAACGAATAATGCAGGTGGGACGCGAAGATGGTAAAATGCTTCCGGCTCCGTGGGGGATCCCCCTTCTTAGCTCCACGGGATCTCATCAACACGGGTTTCCAGAGCACCAGCAAACGCAGCATCTACCACCACCGCCACCACCGCCGCCGCAGCCCTTTTCTCTCTACTTCTACGACTGGTTAACGCAGATACAAGCCCGAACAGGTAAGATTCCACTTTATAATGCCATACTTTTTGTCAATTCGAAATTTTGATACCTTATCTGAGATTCGCGCTTATAGCTACAGTCTCACGTTTCGGAAACTTTAAATTCAAATCCTTTCTGAATTGTTTCCACAAAGTATGACAAATACATGAAAATAATGGATCAGACATTTCTTGAAAAGTAATTCTTCGTCAATTCGTCAAAATTCAGTTCCATCTAGATTTCGATTCAGCTCGTGAGGATTCATAGTAGATATATTTTAAAGAATTTGGAACACCGAGAGTAAAGGGCTAGCAATGCTTCGGGCTCGAAGAAATTCCACGTTTATGCCATTTTGTAAGTTATAAATTGTGCATCATATTAGAACAAACTTTCTTTTAGAAGAAAAAAATAGAGTGGCTAGATAAAACCCGAAGACATTTGAAGAATCGTCTGCGGCATTTGCTGGAAAATAAGGCAAAAGGCAATTTCAATGAATTTAAATAAACTGTTTTCTTTTTCAACGCTTGTGTTTTTTTTTTTTTTTTCAAATATGAGACCTTATATTCGTCCACAGGTGATGCGAGCACGATCCTCCCTTTAGCCAACCCGTACTTGACCATTCCGGACCTAGGCAAAGGAATGGGGCGGCGAATGTCTGACAAAATGCCGTCAGGAGGCAGTGGATCGAAACCCATTGGACACCTGGTGGCACCGCCGCCGCCGTCGACGTCATCAACTTTCTCTCACCCACTGGCGCCGTCATTTTCCCCGGGTGGCGCCGTTGGGTCCACGGCAGCACAGGCGCCGTTCCTCAGCTCCGCACTCTCTCTTCCGGCCTCGATCCCGTTCTCACTGACCCTTCCGGCTCAGAACACATGTGCTAGCTGTAGCCTCACGTTCCGAATGACCTCTGACCTCGTGTACCACATGCGCACGCACCACAAACGCCCGCAAGAACCAGACAAGTTCCGGCGTGGGGAGAAGCTCAAGTGTCCGATCTGCAAAGAGCGGTTCCGGGAACGCCACCACCTCACGCGCCACATGACAGCGCACGAGGACAAGAATGAAGAGGCGCCCGTGTGAAAGGGGCGCCGGTCGTTGATCGTCAGTTCGTCACCCTCCGCCTACCGCAGAATTCGGCGCCTCGAGTTACCTCAAACGAATCCCCCCCTTCAATGCACGGATCACGGCTCTGATCTCCTCCATGGCGTCCCATTTCCCCTCACCTACACCCCACAGTTGAGCGCGTCTCAAAGCGGCGCTTTTACACAATGCCGCCTTGTCCAAAGCGTAAATTAAGCTTTTTTTAAATTAGGCAGAGAGCAGCATTTCTACAGAAATGTTTTTGAGTAGGTATATTCAGTTTCATGGAGCCTTTCAGTTTCAAATGGCTCTTTTGAACCAAAACAAAATTGCTGCATTTTTAAATTTTAATACTGCAGTTGATACTTTCAACCACTAGAACGTAACATTAATTTTCCCGTGCTCTTTTTAATCGGACGGCAGCCGCCACTTCGGGACGCGCTCAACTGCTCTTGTCTGGAAACTGTCTCGACCCTTATTATCTGGATGGCAAAATTGAAATTATTCTGTAGTTCAGTCATTTCATAAAATCGGACAGTTGGTGCTATTCCGTATCTGCAAGTTCACAATAACGCAGTCAGAAAGACTTCAAATTTTGCTAGAAGATACTTGCAGCTGGTCAGCTTTCTTCAAGACAAAAAAAAAGGATATTGCTGGTTTAAAAGGGATGTCAAGAAAGTGAAAGCAGAAGAAATTTTCAGTCCACAGGAGAAGCCGTTTGACCGTTTGACCCGCGAGACGCTTAATCCCCTATTCTGCTCCATATCGAGTGCAGTTTTTTTTTTAAACATTCAATGTGGTTATTTTTCTTTGCATTGCGGTGCTTTTAGGGAGAGTTCTGAAATTTTTGCTTGCATGGAGCTGCTGCCGCTTCAAGTTCTGTTTGTGTTCATGCATTGCTTTGCGACGATCGCGCCAATGCTGATAGTCCAGATATCCTCATTGAGCTTGCTTTTTCGTTTTTTTTTCGTGTGTTTTGAAAGATGCTTTGCGTTTTTATCTGGCATTGTGCAATCTCATCACCGAACACGTAATGAGGAATACAACGGAATCTGAATTTTTCAGCAAAAAAATGAAAGAGTTGAATCATTCTAGTTGGCGTTCCATTTGAGAGGCGTGCTTTTTGTGAAATGCTCGCTTTCCCAAGTGCACTTGTCACATTTAAGATTTTCTATGGATGGATTTTCCTTCTGAACACTGAGGATGATTGAATAATACCTTGGTTATTCAATTCTTATTCCTTCTACATTCAAAATTTGACGTTTTACAATGAACACGGAAAAACGCATTAAAAATCTCCAGAAAAAGCAAGCAATTCCCAGGATTTCTCAGCCTAACGCTGCCAAGCAGTGAAAAGAAAACAGTTTGATTAGAATGGATGATTGTGAAGAAGAATTGATAATGAAATCACGTCCAAGTATTAGTCAAAAGTTAAGCTTACCTTGGTTTTCGCAAACTATTAAATTGACCGACTCATCCTACGAAAACGTATTTTAATGAGACTCTGAAACCCAAAAATGCTTGGACTTTATGTTATGAACTTTTATGGACTTATAAAAAGTCACTTGTTGTTATTCGCGATTAAACTTATCTTCATATCTGACGTAGAAAAAAATTGAAGTCCGTTCAAACTTTTTAAATTTAATTCTCATGAAGTTACTGATATTTTTGGCACACAACTAAGTGGTCTTCGGAATATGAGTCATTGAATTTTATAATGCAATAAAAATTTAAATCTCTGGATCTTGGTAGCAGAAGTGGATTTACCATTAGAAAAGTGAAATTGGGATGCGCGCGACACGAGGAGACTGCTCAGGCTTTCAAACGGATGGAGTCCCTGTTGCTGTCCCCGGGCCTCAGGTCAGGGAACGAAATTCGGGCACGGGTTATCTCCTTGCACAACAGACGACACCCGAGACAGAAATCCAATTCATTCCCGCACCTTTGTGGGTTCGGAGGCGCCGCGTTTTCCCCGCCTGTTCCGCATCGGCAATTGCGACAAGTGACGGTGGCAATTTTGCGCTTTTTTTATTTTCATCGCTCTGGAACCCAGCGATGAAAATAAGCGGGACGAAGCGGAGATTTCTTCATGAAAAGTTTAATCCGCCGTGAAATAACGCGAGATATTTAATTCTCCTTGTCTGGTCGACGTCGGGCTCGAAAGCTGCTTTCCGCCCCGGGATGGAATTGTGACACGGACATCATCTGCTTGCCAAGCCACTGCTTTCTCATGGATTATTTTTATTTCATTTTTTACGACGGTGTAGCAGAATATCTTGCTTCTTCCATCAGGAACTGCCCCTTCAACAAAAACCTCTGTGCATGGTAGTCCATGGGCCCGTTCTCAGCAAAACGTTGAGCATATATAAAACAAATAATATGAATGAAGATATCTGAGAGTTGCCCCTGCATTTTCCAACAGGTTTGCAGCCGCGCTATGAAAGACAAAGAAGGAAAAACTGAAGGAATAAAAGACAAAAGTCTAATCATGCAGTAGTATTCTGAAAATAATGTACCAGTATATGCAATAACCATAAAAAATAAACCCGGAAAGTATTATAAATTATCACTCCGAGTAATTGGCTCCACGAAGTTCCACACAGTATTTTTCTCCCAGCTGAACCAGCTCCCATGCTCATCGAATGAAATTTTGAAAACTGCAAAAAGCTGAAATACAGATGAACCGAAATTCAAAGGTCAATTAATGCTTCTGACGAATAATTTCATATTTTTACTGCAGCGTCTTTTTGCAGTCATTACATCCATTTGAAAAATCGCCACCACATGTTTTCATCATAGTTAGAAAAAAAAATCCCTCATACTGTAGCATATCAAAACCTAAAATTCTAAAAAGTTAACTGTGATGTGAAGGACAATAATTGAACCCTTCCCGTTCTCACGCGTAGCTGTCATACTTAAAATCGTGTTCATGTTAGAAATTCGGAGTATTAAGCAAAATTGCCTTATATTAGGTGAGAGAAAAATAAATTACTACATCTGCAAGCAAGCAATTGATTTCCAAAAACACAAGCAGGTTTTTTACGCTTTTCTTCCGTAGAACTCGGACTTGCTGAAAACATGTTTGATCCTATGCAAAAAAAAATTGAGCTCACTGGAGGATAAAATGCTTGAAATTTAAAATCACCGCATGTTGCGGAGAACATTGGTCGATCATGGGCTTAGCACACGATCGGATTTGGTCGCACGTCAGCTGCTGGAGATAACAGCTTATCTACAACAAGATTCCTCCCCCCCCCCTCCCAAAAAAATGAAAGGAAAAATGGAAAACAAATGCGGGGAGGGTATCTTCATTTCCAAAACCTACCCTTTTTTTTCCTCATTTATTGCGGCCACGATGAGGGAACATATTCATTTGCAATCATCACAGTCGCCATAAGTCAGCGAGAGGAGCAGCTTTAATTAATAGGATATTTATGCTGTCTGTCTGGAGGAGATGTGATGGATTCGACGAATGGGCAGCATTTTTTTTATTTCATTTCTTTTTCGCGGGCCCGAGTTTGCGGATCGATGGGTGCATTACTAAATTGCTGGCAGGCCGGATGTGCGATGTTTTCTATATCTTTCCCCCGAGGGGAGTGCGGCGGAAAAGTCGGGGAAGCAAGTCGACCTGAAATTCATCAATCTCAACTGGGAAAATCTGGCAGGCATATCGAACGGGTTTGGAAGAGATCGGAAGAAGAACTGGCCGGGAACAGCCTTTCGGCACGTCATCATTCATTCCTCCAGGCCATCAAGCTACTCACATATAGCGGCAAACTGCCCGGCCCTCGGGATTCCTCACGTTTGAACACAGCATCTCGGCATGCGAGCAGGAATTTCTGTCTCGAAAGGCCAATGAGGTGAGCTTTTATTATCTTCAAAAAATGGGCCCAGGAAATCTCTGATTTTCTTCCTTATCGGCAATAAGAAGTCAGCACGTCACCCGAATTGCTTCCCTTCTCGAATTTTCCAGATACGAGTGCAAACACATGTGTTCTTTGCAGTCCATTTTTATTTTGAACAGTGACCACATACAGGGTATTTTCAAATTAAATTCTTACAAATTGAACATACTCTTTTTCAATTCTTCCAAACGGGCAGTCTCGATAACGATTTTCAAAAGGACGACGCAAAATTGTGACATGAAATTCCATTCATGTTCATTTGTCCTCCGGGTGAAAATGCTTCTTCTTCATATTTTTAAAGTTGGATCACAAACCTATTTTGCAACAACATTTGATACAGTGGACCCTCGTTAAACCGCCAACGTTTGTGGTCCAGAATTTTGGCGGTTTAACGGGATTTGAAAAAAACCAGTTCCAATAAAACCCACTCTTCTTTTCCTGCCCGATCATTCTTTGTTTCTTGGGAACATCAATCTCCCATTCTACACATATCAGGACAAAGAGAACCAAGAATTTCAATGCTGAGTTTAAGGAGAAATTTGTTCAAAGTTAGTTAGGATGGGTCACTGTACTTTAATTTGTATTATTTGGGTGTATGTTAATTTAAATTGAGTTGATTAATATAGGTGGAGAGGATGAGTTTTCCATTTTTCCAATAGCTCTTGAATTAAACTCTATGTGAAAATATTTAGGTGAAGGGAAGTATGGAGCAATAAAAGGCTGGATGGAATTGTTTTTGGCAGAAAACTAAAGCACAAAGTCAATCTGTTCTATCTCACCAGGAAAATTCTCAAAATAGAAGCAATTATATTCAAATGTTTCAACCACAATGTCACTTGTATTTTAAAATTTACAACTTTATGATTTACAAACTTGTTTAATGAGTGCTCATTTCTGAATAATGTCTTGTGCTTTTTTCCTGCCATGCCTACTTGAATAAGATTCTGAAATTCAATTTCTACCAGAAAGGGATCCTGCAAGCCTTCATCTCAATATGTTCTTTCATGCTTGCTTTCATGCACATATCTTGAATAAATTGCTGATGAATCCTTTTCTTGGGGATTTCATTTGTAAATATTGCAAAAATAACATTCCAAAAAAACTTTGTTGTTTCACTCCGACAACAGTTTCTCCTAGATATTTCATGGACTGAAAATACTGTCCCAGAAAGTGGAACATGGTGGGGAACAGGACTTGGGGATGAAAGAAGAAAGATTGGAGAAGGAGACAAGATGTGCGGCCCTTTCTTAATGGTGCCGCAGGTAAAAGTATTTTTTTGGTGCGGGCAGTCAAAGTGGTAGGTGCTGAATTAAGCTGCTACAATTTCTTCTTTTTTCGATTGTTTCCCTTCTCGATTGTGAATAAGTTGCAGTGGACGATTTGTGTGTTGCAAAAGCACTCAGACAAAGTTTGTGCTAATTAATTTCTGAAACACCTTTTATTGAAGAAATATGTCAAGTGTTGGTGCTTCTGTAATGATGCTGTGATTCGTGTAAATATAATATTGATAGTATGGTGAAATCACGAAACTCATCATACAGTGGATTTCTGTGACAACTGATACGACACATTTCTCATGGCCTCCGAAATTTTCCTGTGAGGCACAGCTCATGAAAATCTCGTGCGAATTTGTTTCATCATCTCAAGCCAAAATAATGAAAAAAAAATACGCATATGCTGAAATAGGAGCGCGAATAATTAAGGTTTTGAATCGTGTCTTGCAGAACTGAGAGCAGAAATGTGCCATGTTCTGCGTTGCAAATTTTCGACAGAAGACGCAATTTGAAATGCTTTTTAAAGTTGTAATGGCGATGCTCTTTCTTTTGGTGTAGAACGTGGACTTAATGGTTTGAAAAACGTTCGAAGGTTTTTTTTATTTCAACTGAGACTACGCAGATTAAAAGGATCTCATTTGATGAGTATGTTTTTTCAGTTGCTATTCGCACATTTTTTGGCATTCGAAAAAAAATGAATCCCGAAGAGAATGACTGGAAGAGGTTAGACTATAGAGAGAGGTACTGCCTTGATCCGAATAGATTTCTGGTGGAGGTAAAAGCATTCTGCATTTTTTGAATCGAGATAATCGCAACTGCCTCAGGACCAGCAGGGAAAACCATTAGCAGGAAAGCTCTAGCTGTTGAAATCTCGTCGGCGAGTCGTTTGTTTCTTCCCCCTTTTCCCCGGCCAGCATGAGTCTGAGTGGAAAGCAGCCAAAAAAAATAATTTGAAAAAATGATCGAATTTACACCCGCTGAATGTTTTCCGATTATGATTGACTCTGGTGCACTGGGGAGGGAGGGCCTTTTTATTATTCCCAGCCTCCATCCACTTCCCTTGCTTAACTCTCTCGGCTGATCAGGTTGTTCGCTAATGGATCCCTGTTGCCACCCTGGAACCCTGGTTCATCCTGGCGTGAAAGGATCTTCTGTCAAGCTTGGCGGCGCAAGCTAAGAATCGACAGATCGAGTCGATTTCATTGATCATTTCAATTTGATGCATCGCTGCTTCCTTCTTGGAAAATAAAGTGCAATCGGAGTTGTTTGAGCAACGCACATTTTAGCACTAGGTTCAAATAAAGAAACAAATGTTGATCTAGAGCCTGATAGGTTTGATTTATTAGTATGAGAAAAATTGGAACACAAAGAATTTCCGTGTTCAGCATGAACTATTCATCTCAACATTCGTAGCGGTCAGTATTCTGAAATCAAGCAGAAGATTTTTCATTGAAACCCAAAGAATTGTCTAGAATCCCTCAAGAATTTTTCCGGGGGCATTTTTTTTATTCAATATCTTGATTTTTTGAACGCTGTAGCTCGTGATGCTATTCTTTTTCCAATAAATTTCAAGAGATCAATAATACATTTTTGAATCCGCTTACTTCCAAGGTTATGCACGTAATTCCAAGAGGTCGGAATTCCTGATTTCTTGGCAACTGTCTCACAATTTCTTACTTAAATTAAAATGGAAAGGAGACAGAGATGATGAGATAGTGGAATTATTCCACCATTGTGAAATGAGGTTCTCTTGACACATTCGAATCTGGGAATGAATATGTGAACAGTTCAATATTCTTCAGTTATTCTTGATCATGATAAGTAAATTATTATTAAATTTGCTCTAATGAAACATATCTGACAGCCACCCATCAAAGAACGTTCTGATCTCTAAAATTTCACAAATGCTCTACAATGTTTGCTGCCCTGGAATAGTAATTGGTTGTCAATAATTTATTTTATTCATTGCTCCAATTAAAGAAAATGCTGAGCAAACGGACAGAGAATTCCGGAATATTTTATTATTACAGTATTTTAAATTCGTTTGGTTAACAGTCTCTCAGAAATGTGGCTATATACCCGAAGAAATTAATCAAGAGTTACTGAAAAAATTGTACCAAAAAATGAAAAAAGAAACTTTATTTTCATTGCGTGTTCGTGTAATTTAACGGAATGATGAACAAGTGATCGAATCACTCGGCCTGGATCTGGAATTTGTATTGGATCGTGCTAATGTACAGAAATAATATTATTCGGGGAAATAAACAAAGGACGCTTGTCTTGTTCGAAGTTGTCGGCGAAGTCACCCCTCGGACAAAGAAATGGCATAATCCTGTCCATAGGTGACGACGCACACACGGGCGGAACCCGCAGGAACCAAATTTATGGTCAGACTCGTGGGTTGTCATTCCTTTGTTGCGCGGGGCGGGTAATCGGTGACCCCGCTTGACCGCGGCTCCTGGCCGAGACAGTTACCCGTGTTTGTCATCCTCAGTCGAGTCGTGATCCAGGATTACAGCTGCTCTAAATCACGGCTACCGAGAAACCTGCGACGCAATCTTCCGCATTTGAATATCGGGTGATTTGCTGCTGCATTCCAAAACTCGCGCCAAAAACCTCGCGAATAATAACAGCTCATGCATGAAGAAAATTCCTCACGAGTGAAATGAAAGATTGACCCAATTAAGGATAAATCCCGTGTACTACCTTAACAAAGGTTGCACGTAACACCAGTTTAAATTTCCCGACATAAATAATGACAGATTTTCAATTCAATTCTACTACCGTGTACTATATGCCTGAGCGATAATGCAATCCCTCCGAATGCGAGCTACAATCCACAATTTTCCGCATGAATGTTGGAACGAAACTCCTCTTCAAAGATTATCCACTATAAGACGAGTAAGAGAATATTCCTTATCAAATTTTTAGGCTTATCGCGACCTTTCCTCGTGACCCAGGGTAGAAAAAAATGAGATCAACTTCTGTATTGAATATCAAACGTCGCGAAGTACGGGTACATGCACGTATTTTATGAAAATTTCCGAACAAAATATTTGTGCATTTGAATTTTCGGACACAGTTTGTTGCTGATAACGGAAGTGATCATCAGCAGTTTTAATTTATTCTCACCTCGGAGTTCGTGCGAATCATCAAAACGATGCAGCTCAGGCTGTTCATCGGATTGCTCGGCATTTTCACCGGGCTGTACCTGGTGCAAGCTGACCCAGGTTCGAAAATAAAATACATTTTCAGTGACTGACAGTTTATCCGAAATTAAGGCTAAAGCCACGAAATTCTCCTCAAATTATAGCCACAATTATATTATTCAAAATATGTCCTTCGTTTGCGCAGGATTTAATGACCCGTTCATCGCGGGCAACGCACCGGGCTTCTCATTCAACAAAGACGATAGCCTGGTAACTTTTCCTGAAGGAGATTATACGACGAACCCAGTTCAAGGGTTCATTCTTTCCTGCAATGCCGACGGCTGTCCGACTATTCCGAATTCTCAGGACATTTGCGTGCTGAGAAATCTTCCGACCAATCGTCCATTCAGTCTGTCCTTCGATACGACTGACAATACCAGGGTCATCATGTCCATCAAAGAAGCGGTAGATCGTGAAGTGAGTCCGTTTAAAGGAATTTCATTCCGGCCTGTTATCAACTAGACGTATAAAATACGCAATTGTTGTAGAATTTTTCCATATAGAGTGAAATGATTCCAAGTTATTTGCCCGCTCGAGTCAAAAAAGAACCTCTGCGGAATCAAAAAATAATGTCTGTGTTTTGATTAAAAATTGAACTGAACAAGTGTACGCCTAAAAAACGTACAATTCGTTGAAGACCGGGACTATATAGTAGAATACTGTTTAGCTAGACCAAATGTAATCAAGAATATCACGTTTACAAAGGGTATGGATTTATGCTAAACATTGAGAACACGATTTTAGCTGTGAAATAATTTGGTGAGGTTCAGACTCTTCGCGAGCTTTGAACGTACTGTAATTCGAAATGAAGTCGAGCTGTGAGACAATTAAAGAAATAAATGGTATAACGACCGTTTTTCAAAGAAAATCCAATAATAATGGGATGTCTCTGGAAAATGCTCGAGATTTAAGGAAACTTGCCAAATATCAAGTTAGATCAGTGCACAGCAAACTTTTCACTTTTTGTGCATCGTTACGGGATATTTGATTATCTCAAAAGAATAAATCTGGGGATAAGCCCGATTTATGACGGTTGCTCTGCATGCATGTGCTCCAGCCCGTTGAACATGAATGATGAATACTGTGGAGTAATCTTCTGGGAAAAGTAAAAACACTGGGTGAATCTCTCGACTTTCAAATCATCTAACCAAAGTAAAATTCAAGAATGTGGAAATTTGTTCTTTCGCAGTCCAGTAACCCACCGGATTTGCTAGACTGCGGCTACGGTGCAGTGGCAAAGGTGAGTGATTATTCCTGATTATTCAATTCCAATCGAGACAAACCAATTGAGCTTTCTACACAGAATGCGAAAGTCTCCATCTCGGATGTGAACGACAATTACCCGATCCTGAGCCCTCGTTATGAGTCACAAGTCACCGAGGTGAGAAAGATTTTAATCGTTTTATGCGCTTCATTTTTAGCTAATTCACTTCTTTCTTATAGGGCGAAGATTATTCGAACCAACGGCCTGTGCTACCAACGGCCTGTGTTTTAGATTTCGCGACTTCGGGAGATTTGCCACACGACCCCGACACCGATGACGAGTTGATCTTCACGTTGGTCAGTGGTTTTAATGAAGTGAAGAATCTTCCACGAAATTTATGGGTGAATAGGATTTTCGTAGGAAGAAAAGTGGAGAGAAGACTTCGAAGTGATTCGGGACAGCAGCTCGAACAACCCGGTTCTGGTTTACAAGAAGGGGCAGTTTGACTTCGAAAGACGACCATTTTATTCCATAAATTTGACCGTTACTGCAAGTAGAGCAGCATCGAATGATTGAAATGTTTTCCTAAAGCTTTTTTTTTT